AGAGAAGGCATATTGCTTACTTAGCTTTCCCTCCTCCCCATCCCCAGACATAACAATATCACCAAAAGTTGTTTTGTGTTTGTACTCTGGGCACTGCAATTGCCTCCTACTATCTGAATCCATCTGAATAAGGACGGCAAGAAATTGGAAGATTTTGCAAGAATTGATTTGGTGACACTGGTATATCCTATTAGATGTGGATAAACTGTATTTTTGTAGTTCCTGGTCATGCATTGAATTTTCTCATTACATTATCAATAAGTTACATTAAAATTGTTTACAGTTATCTTTCTGTTCATGCTTCTTCTCTCTCTCTCTCTCTCTTTCCCCTCCCTTAATTCTAAAGCTGCTTAAGGAGATAGCTAGGAAACGCAGAAGCATTCGTCTTGGGAGGGAAGTTGAATTAAAGCCATATATTGCAGCTCACTTTGAAGTTCTTCCTACGGAGTTCACATTGGGGGATAAGAAGCATTATGGTGGATTTGAGAATAAGCAACTGCAGAGTGGTCAAGAATATGTCTTCTTTGTCTTGGCTGTAATGGAGCACTCGGAATCTGTAAGTTAGTTAATGTTTCTCAGTGTTTCCACAATCAAGAAAACTATTTTTCAATGCTTATTACACTTCTCAAAAGCTTTTCTTTATGTTTTAATATATGCCAGAGCGGCTTTAAAGGGAGTGTTTCCTTGCTAGTTCCAATTAATTCCTTAAACTTTTCTATTCTGATCCACCTTTTTGTGTTACATCTGTGTATAACTGAAACCTGAGGATCATCTTTTATTAGCTGTGTTGTGATCCTTCACAGATTACATGCCCTGCTATTCGTGACCATGGACAGAGGTTCTGCCGCATAAGCTTCACAGCAGCATCTTTCTCAATGCGTTTAAGAGAGTTCCTCTCTTGCCTTAATGCTACCATCAAATAATGGTGTAGGATACATAGGATTCTTGGAAAGATCCATTGAATCAGAGGCGTGCATACCTAGCCTCGTTAGATACAGTCATTCCCTAGCAACTTCATCAATAAATTGTTAGAAAGTTAGAAAATAGTTCCATAATATGGAAAATTCCTGAGGTGAGCTAAATAATGAGCTGTCATT